GGCGGGGTCAGCAGGGCCAGGTCACTCGGCTGCTCATGTGACAGCCCCGAGCGTGACCTTTATCGGTGGGGCCCGTGCTGACTCAGCACACGGATGTGGACGCACAGACAGTGTGCCGTGTGCCGAGGCCACAGCTACACACAACACTTTTTTCTGGCAAATTGATGAAATTGTTTTTATTCGTCCTTAGAAAACTCAGTGATAGGCACAAATTGCATGAATTTTTAAAGAGAAAAAACAGAGACTATGGACATGCCGGCTGGCACACCCAGCATAGGCAGTGAGGAGGCAGACAGAGATGTGAGCTGGGAGCCAGCTGGTGTGGCTCAGTGGTGGAGCAGTGACCTAAGAACCAGGAGGTCAGGGTTGGATTCCCGGTCAGGGCACATCCCGGGTTGTGGGTGGATCCCCAGGGTGGGGCCTGCAGGAGGCAGCTGGTCAGTGATTCTCTCTCACAATTTTCTTCCACTTCCCTGACGGCGCTTCTTAAATGAATCCATGTGTGAAACTGATCCCAGTGCTGAGTGTGCCAGCGGGTCAGGGTGGGCCTGGGCTCTCACATTTCTATGTTTGTCTGTGTGTGTCTGTACATATACACACATATATGTACATGGCTACACAGGCACCATAGATAAATGTACATATGTATATTCACATGTATAGGCTGTACGCGTTGGGTTTTTTATTTATCTTTTTGTTTAGTTTTATAACTTTTTAACATTTATTTTTATAAATATATTTTTTATTGACTTCTGAGAGGAAGGGAGAGGGAGAGGGAGAGAGAGAGAAACATCAATGATGAGCGAGAATCATGGATTGGCTGCCTCTTGCACTCCCCCTACTGGGGATCAAGCCCATAACCTGGGCCTGTGCCCTTGACTAGAGTTGAACCAGGGACCTTCTGCAGGCCAAGGATCTATCCACTGAGCCAAACCAGCTAGCACAGTTTTATAATTTTTTTTTTACCACCTTTATAGGTGCCCAACTGTTGCTAGGGACTGATAAAAACTCCTTTCTATCTCTGTTCCTGACTAAATCCTTCTACTTTTGGAAAAAGCAACTGATTTTTTAAAATAACTGTTTAGTATGTTTCCAGTCAATTCACCAAATTCCCCTCACACCTTTCACTCTAATCCCCAGGCGTGTTGAACAGTCCTCATTCCCACACCCGGCTGCTTCCCAAGGCCCTTCCCAGGTAACTGACTCATTCCCTTCCCGCGTTACTGAGTCATTCATGCCGCCTCCTACGGGAAGGCCTCCGCTGACCCCTGTGGTTGGCAGGGTCCCTACTGAATTGTTTGTTTCCATGACTTCCCACCCCACTGTGCCTATATGTCCTGCCTCACACCGTGGACTCTGAATTCTGTGGAGTAAAAGATCAGCGATTAAACACATTGCTACTCTCAGAAGCCAGCTCTGTGCCTGGAGCACAGTAAATTCTATAAAGAAGAAAAGGGGAATGGCCCTGCTCGGACTGGAAACAGCTGCTTAAACCAGGCCAGAGAGATCTAGTTTTTAAGAGACTCGCTCATCTTTTCTGCTACATCCCTCTTGATATTTATAAATTACAGACACCTGTTTGTTTGTTTTATTTTAAATATATTTTTATTGATTTCAGAAAGAAAAGGAGAGGGAGAGAGAGACAGAAACATCAATGATGAGAGAGAATCATGGACCGGCTGCCTCCTGCACGCCCCACACCGGGGATGGAGCCCGCAACCCAGGCCTGTGCCCTGACCGGGAATCGAACCCTGACCTCCTGGTTCATGGGTCGATGCTCAGCCCCTGAGCCCCGCCGGCCAGGCAACTTCTCACTTCTTGACGACCCACTTCCATGAGCACGTGGATCTCATTTGATTTGCTCACTGACCTCAGCTGAGCGTGATGACCCGTCTTCACTGACATAGAAATCAGCCCAAAGAGGCCACAGAAAACACTAGAAGGTGGGCTTGGCCTCCCCTCGCCCAGCCCCAGGCCGCCTTCCCTTCAGGAAAAGTCTTGTTGATGTTTTCGGCTCTGGGCACAGTTCAAAACAGAAAAACATGGTGCCATCTTCTGAGATGCAGCCCCTGCCAGTGAGAACGTGGACGTGAAGTTAAAAATTAAGCTGCACAGCCAGACCCAGGCTCCCCGCCTGCTGCCCTGGGCCTCCCCCGTGGCTGGTGTTTGTCTTTGTACACGGCAGGACGTTGGGAAGGGGCGAGGGGACAGAAGCCACTCCACAGCCGCCTGCGGTGAGGGCTTAGCAGACGGGTTAATGGTGAAGGTAAGTGCTTCTCTTCGCTCTGGGTCGGTGCTAATCAGTCCTGCACCAGAGGCCCATCGAGGGAGGGAGTGGGTGAGGGGAAGTCGGAGAAAGACCCTGAACAGCAGCCGCAGGGCCTCCCTCCGGGGATGGTTTTTGGTTGCAAAATCAAGAAGAGACTTTCTGAAGAGCCCTGGCCAGTGTGCTCAGTGGATAGAGCGTTGGTCCCCGGACAGAAGGGTCCTGGGGTTGATTCCAGTCAAGGACATGTACCTGAGCGTGCAGGAGGCAACCCATCAATGTGTCTCTCTCACATCGATGTCTCTCTCTGTCTTCCTCTCCCTTCCACTCTCTCTAAAAAAATCAATGGAAAAGTATCCTGGGGAGAGGATTATCCAAACGATTTTAGAAAACTGAAAAAGGTGATCGATTCTATCAAGACCCTAGAGCAGGGCTTGGGGGCCACCAGGCCCAGGGGACACTGGGCGAGGGCGGCTCCTCTGAGGAGCCGGAGTGCTAACTGGGACGCCGTGGCATGTGGACGGGCTTCAGCTGTGGAATAAAATGCTGGACCCCAACCGGAGAGACCCTGGCTGCTCGATGGGAAGGAAGGGGAGAGAGGGTGGCGGGGGGAGGGTGGGAAGAGACGCAGGGAAGGGACCTGGAGGACAGCACAATTGGGCTCACATTGGCCTGGAAGACGGGGCCCCAGGCTGTCACTCAGGAGAGGTGCCTGGGCTTCTGCCCATCTCCCGGGCTGGGTCCAGTTGCACCTGTTGTTGTGGTTAATTCTCACCTGGGGCCATTTTTCCATTGATTTTTAGGGAGAGTGGAAGAGAGAGGGAGAGAGAGAGAGAAACACATCGATTGGTTGCCTCCTGCACGAGCCCCGACCAGGGCACGGCCGGGGAGGAGCCTGTAACCGAGGTGCGTGCTCTAGTGACAACCCTTCCAGCGTTGCCCACAGACTTTATTCTTCAGGGTTAAATTGCTACAGGAACTAGTGGCATGATAGGAATCACCTGCTGGGATAACCAGTTTTATTTAGAACCACCCGTCTTCTGGAAGGTGGGCAGTGGCACGAACCCAGAAACAGTCACGTTTCCACTTATTCCCTGAAGTTTTTGTCGAGTGGCATCCCTTGCTCACCCACCGTTTGAGGGAAAGAAAGAAAAAAAAGGAAGCCCTAACCGGTTTGGCCCAGTGGATAGAGCGTCGGCCTGCAGACTGAAAGGTCCCAGGTTCGACTCCGGTCAAGGGCATGTACCTTGGTTGCAGGCACATCCCCAGTAGGGGGTGTGCAGGAGGCAGCCGGTCGATGTTTCTAACTCTCTATCCCTCTCCTTTCCTCTCTGTAAAAAACCAATAAAATATATTTTTTTAAAAAAGAAAGAAAAGGAAAAGTTTAAAGTGAAAGTTTCAGGCCAACTGAACCATCAAAGGCATGTTTATAGTAACGTGTGTCCGCTGCGAGCCTCCATGCAGTCACCCGACAGCCCGGGTGCCAAGCTTGGGACTGTCTGTCCTCCCTGCCGCCGTGAGCAAGGATCGCACGTGACGCCGTGAGCTGTCCTGGGTGAGGAGGCGCGTCTCAGACCCCCGTTCCCACGCGCTGGCCCCTGCTTCCGAGGAAACGGGTGAAAAGGCTCGGGGAGCCCCGGGAACTGCCCTGGCTTTGTCCGACCTCGTTCCCAGAACGGCCGGGACTGGTCCCCGCGCCCTTCGACCTGCAGGTTCCTGCTCCTTCGGCCACGTGGACATTTACTCTGAGCAAACGAGGAGGCTCGCCAACAGGGTGACGCAAGGCCGCTGCATGTTAGGGGAGCCCTGAGGGCAATGACAACAGGTGATAGGAAATGGGCTGGGCCGCCCGCGTGGCTCAGGGTGAGCATCGACCTAGGAGCCAGGAGGTCACGGTTGGATTCCGGTCGGGGCACAGGCCTGGATTGCGGGCTCCATCCCCAGTGGGGGGCGTGCAGGAGGCAGCCGGTCCATGATTCTCTCTCATCATTGGTGTTTCTGTCTCTCTCTCCCTTCCTCACTGAAATCAATAAAAACATATTTTAAAATAACAACAACAACAAAACAAAGGGTTTGCTGATGCCCAGAGCAGGCAGCGGGAATGCGGGAGTGATTGTGGGTCCTGCGTTGGCTTGTCCTCCCCTAGGTCAGAGCCTGTCGCGGCGAAAGAGACTCAGGGCAGGGGCGCCTCTGCCCCCACGTGCGGAGCCGCCTCCCGGAGGAGCCCCATGGACGAGAAGCCGTCTGCCAGGAGAGGTAACGCCACCCGCCGGGCTGGCCGCTGCCCGTGGAAGGGCGGACCGGTGTCCCCGCATCCCCGGCACCTCCCTGCTCTGCTCCCCTCCTCCTCCCATCGCGCCTCAGCGGGCAGTGGGACCCGCTCCAGCCCCTCACCCTGTTGCCTCTTGTTGCTTCTTCCTCAGGGAGCCCCACTGAGTTATGGGCCAGAGATTAAGCCCAGCGCTCAGCGAGTCCTAGGACATAAGGAATGGAATGGGTCTGAAAAAGTCATTTTATAGAAACCCTCGGGGCTGCCTGAATTCCTGCGACGGGGTCCTTGCCAGGGAGCTGGCTGTGTCTCCTGAGCGGGGAATCTCCAGGAATAAGGAAATAATTCTTCTCCAGGTGACCCATCCATCCCTGAGCCACCTGGCCATGAACGAGGATTTCTTCCACTACGCAGGGTGTCCCCCCAAAATGCACACACACTCTAACATACTCAAAGTGCGTAGACATTTTGGGGGGGACACCCTGTGTTCTCCTCTATTTCCTCCCAGGTTCTCTCTGGTTTCTCTTTAGTCCAAATTCTCCAAATATGCGAAAATATTTACACTCAGGTGCGTGAATACGCTGGGTTGGGTAGAGCATCGGCCTGAGACCCCACGGTGGCCAGTTCGGTCCCCTTCAGGGCCCATGCGAGAGCCAGCCTATGAGCGCATCCATAAGTGTCACGGCAAACCGGTGTTTCCCTCTCTCTACAAACAAATAAAAAAAATGCCTAAAAAGAAGATCCTGGGCATGTGACTAGCTTCATTCGAAGGCAGCTGGCTGTCTAGTCGAAACTTGCAAGATGTTTTTGGTAAATGAATATGCAAACCAGATGGGGGCTGACAGGCAGCTGGGGGAGGTGTTGTGGGAGGCTCTGCCGCCCTCTCCCCCTCACTTGGTTTGGGAACAATGGCGGTCCGTGCCATCATGTAGCTCGTTCTGTGTTTATCATCTGCTTCCCACCGTGGCTTTGCCTGGTGATGGGATCCCAGACTCAGGCCTGAAGCTGACTAAAGGGAAGGGCCGAGGAGGGCTGCGTTTTAGTGAAAAGAGAGAGGGGGCTGTGGTGTTTCTGTTGTTGTTTTTTAAACATATTTTTGTTGATTTCACAGAGGAAGGAAGAGGGAGAGAGAGAGAGAGAAACATCAATGTTGAGAGAGAGTCATGGATCGCCTGCCTCCTGCATGCCCCACACCGGGGATCGAGCCCGAACCACAGGCAGGGGCCCTGACAGGGAATCGAACCCCGACCTCCTGGTTCATAGGTCGATGCTCAACCGCTGAGCCATGCCGGTCGGGCCCGCGGCGTGTTTTTCACTGGGAGGAGCGCTCGCCGCCAGGAGCCCCCACTTTTCCCCCCGTCCTTCCCAGGCCCGGACATCTGCTCCTTGCGCTACGGGCTGGCCGTGGTCATGCACCTCTCCAACCTCAGCATGATCACCCAGCGCGTCAGCCTCAGCATCGCCATCATCGCCATGGTCAACGGCACCCAGCAGCCCGCCCCGGCCAACGCCTCCGCGGACGGCCCCCTCCAGGACCCCAGCGGGCCCATTGGGGAATTCCACGCAGGGGTGAGTGGGACGGGGAGCAGCCCTTTGTCGGGCGGGCATCCCCAGTGTGAAGGGAAGGCTTTGATCTCAATTCTGTGGATGGAGAAGCATGGATTTCATTTTATTTTATTTTTAAAATATACTTTTACTGATTTCAGAGAGAGGAAGGGAGGGAGGGAGAGAGAGAATCTGGGCCATTATTTACGTTAAGTGGACAGTATTCTACAGTCACGCTGTTTGTACCTCCATGTACACCACGATGTTTCCTGTCCAGCAGCCACCACCAGCCATTTATCAGGTCGCCTCGGGAGAGGAAGGTGGCCGCACTCCTGGTCTAGGAAGCTGGTTCTGTGCAGGCGGCCATCGCTCCTGACCTGCTGTTAGGGACTGAGTGGATGGGGGCGCAGGAACCCTGGTCTCCCTTACCCTTTGGAATGAGGGTCCGCATGTCACCCGACTTTGACCAGAAGCAAAATAGTGCAAGGGAGCTCTTCTGCCGACGGAATCTCTGTCGCCGTCTCCTTCGCAGACCCCTCCAGCCGCCCGTTTGTGCGACCCTTTCTTCTCGCTTTTCCCCTTCGCACCCTCTGCCTTTCCTTCCTCGGAGAGGAGCAAAGGAGGGTTCTAACCGGTTGGCTCAGGGGATAGAGCGTTGACCTGTGGACGGAAGGGTCCCAGGTTTGATTCCAGTCAAAGGCACGTGCCAGGGTTGCGGGCTCGATCCCCAGTAGGGAACGTGCAGGAGGCAGCCGATCAACGATTCTCTCTCATCATTGATGTCTCTCTCTCTCCCTCTCCCTTCTTCTCGGAAATCAATAAAAATATATTAAAAGTAATTAGGCATATAATTAGTGATTTTGGAAACGGTGGGATATTTAAGCTAGATTTTAAAAAAGAAAAAAGAGAGAGAAACCAAATGCGCCCTTCCATGGGAGGCCCCACCGACCACAGCGCTCTGGCTGGGAAGCCCCCGTTCGCAGCCACGAGCTTTCCTTTCTCCTCCTTTTCAGACCTCCGTCTACGCATGGAGCCCAGAGACCCAGGGCATCCTCTTCAGCTCCATCAGCTACGGGATTTTGCTGACTCTGATCCCCAGCGGATACCTGGCGGGGATATTTGGCGCCAAGCACATGCTGGGGGCGGGGCTGCTGGGGTCACACCTGCTCTGCCTC